ACCTCGGCCTGTTGTTTGACATGAGTACCCCTTAACAGGGCCTCTGTATAAATGACCTCGGCCTGTTGTTTGACATGAGTACCCCTTAACAGGGCTTCTGTACAAATGACCTTGGCCTATTGTTTGCAGACATGAGTACTCCTTAACAGGGCCTCTGTATAAATGACCCAAGACTATTGTTTGACATGCATTTTGATGTGAAACATTAGAAGGCAGTACTACTAAACTTGCCTTAGTACTGTTGAGAGTAAGAGTCAGACCAAACTGTAACTACATAATATCTAAACTATGTATACAATTTTAATACATGATGGAGGATATGCAGCTGTTAGGCAATTAATATCATGGTATGCCCAAAGAAAGAAAATGTTTGGGTACATATAATTAAAATACGTGCCTATGGTTGTACATAAATTCATAAAATGGACATATATACCATATATGGCCTACACTATAATTTCTAAGGGCGCTTTCCATTAAGTCGAACCGACCAGTCCAATTGGCCAGTTCTCAAATGGTACAGGTCAGTTCTCATTAATTTTGAGACTTTGGCTAACCAGTTCTAAAGAACTAACGCATATACCATTTGAGAACTGGCCACTCAAACTGGTTGGTTAGACCTGATGGAAAGCACCCTAAGATTCGGAAGGGCTAAAGCAATTATTACAAGTCAGGATCAAATCAATTTGAAATTCATCACTTGACATCACTAATAATATGTCAGAAAATAATTTTGATTTTGAATTGCATACATTAATAGAATGTATACAATATATGTATATTTAAATGGAATAACATTGTCGGGTTAATAAGGTTCAATCATAGAAGCTAAGACCCAAGGGTGTTCTGAGTAAACAGATTATAAGGCTAATAGTTATGCATATTGCAGTTTTGCAGCTCTTAAACATTGATTCAAGTTATTGAACAAAGCATTTTGCCACTCTTCCTGCTGCATCTGTCTGTATGCTAATGCTGATCTCCAAATACCCAGGATGTTAACTACCCAGAATACCTCTAGGTCTTAAAGGGCAAAAAAATCAATGATTTTTTTCAATTTAGTATATGCAAGTAACGTTTTGAGTTATGACAAGCCAGTTGTAATCAGCTGTAGAATAGTCTCTTTTAGTGGACCATAATCCATTGCATTTCCACGTGAAAGTCGGCGCAAGCCCAAAACCTTCCAGGCCCCATCAAATTTACATAAGCTACACATGATTATAGCCTGGGAGTATGCAGCATGGTCCATGGCAGTACTGCACAACTGCTTTTTAGGAAATCTGGCATCAAAGAAACGGAGACTTGGATTGGGGTACTTTGAAATATTTGGAGAAGCCCAAGCACTTAATGTGAAGAATAACCTGTTGATACCACTTTGCAAGCTTTTGAGCTTGACTCTGATGGTATGGTGTCCAAGGCGATTTGCATCATCCATCACATCTCCTGAGTGCCAGACTGCAGTACATGTCACACTCTGTCTGTATCCATAGTCTACTCTTTCTATAAAAGATGTTTCACTGTACAGAAGTACTGAAGCATCCAAATAATCCCTTCCAGAAGTGGGATATCCCCAAAATAGATCAAAAATGACTTCATCAAAATCATCAGGAATATCATATAGAACAACAATGAGGTTTATGGTCGAGAATGGCTTCACACCATAATATTGAAGAGTTGCCAGATTGGAGTCTTCCTGTACCTAAATAGGAAAAATCAAGCAATTTAAGTATTCTACCATCTCCTACTATTTCTTCAAAAGTAGCAGAATAAGATTAAAGAGTAGTATAGTAATTATATAACCATATCAAGTTTTTAATTAATGTTAATGTTCTGCCCACGATGTTTGGTGCAACAGTAGTTTTCTTAGTGAAATGTGCATGTTGTTAGGGGTAACTTCACCGATAGTCATCATACCCATGCTTTATCATTAGTGAAGTATGACCACATTTACTGTTTAAGCATAACTTTTATCCAAAGGTTTTTTATTGCCAAAGAAGGTTTTACACAATTTTTTTCCGTAAAACCAGCTTTGAGCATATCAAAATTTGTCACTTTAACATACAAAATCCTGTGCATAAAAGTATGTCAATAATTATCGCTGGTCATACTTTTGCATATCATGCAGTATAAAATACTTTTGAGGTTGCCCCTGACAACATGTAAATTTTTCTGACAAAACTTCTGTTGCACCAATCTCAACTGACAAACATAAAAACTGTCAGTCATCTGACATTATGTCTGGCAAGAATTGGAACTTGTCTGGTCAAATCTTAATGCCTTGCCGGTCATTTTGACCAGTAATGTTGAGGAGGCAGAAATGAGGTATGACTGAGCTATAGGCCAATCTTTATTTAACTTTTTTCCTTATTAGCATTAAAAAATTTCAAGCTACAATCAAATCGACTCCAGAAAATTTTTTGAAAGCGGTATGATTTACAAAGAAATGTATAGTCGTGTGACTAGACTGCCACACAACTATACCTTTCTTTGTCATTTTATAGTGTTTTCAAAAAATTTTACAAAATATTGAACATATTACTCTCAAATTTTCAGTAGTTACTAAATAAGACATTYTCTTTCGATTTCTGGAGAGTTTTTTTAATGCTAATGAGGAAAAAACGTAAATAAAGATTGACCTATTAAAACTAACTTGCTTGCATGGCCATCATAACTGGCGACTGAACAGTTTTTTTAGCGCAATGTATAATTATGTTATTTAATAAACAAAAAATATGAACCATTAGAATTAAACACTTGTCAGACATGCATTAAATCAAGTTTCACTTTTCACAAACCTTGAGCTCTTTCTCGTCGCACAGGAGTCTCTGCTTTTGTGGTTCAGTAGAAAAGCATTTGCTGATCTTTACCTTCAAGCTTGCAATAGTCATATTGGCATCATATGGGATAACAGTAGTCTCTCCACCCATCATGGACACTGTTATTGTTTCATTCCCAGATAGTGTGGCTGAGGTGGTGCTTGGGATAGCTTGGGGGGCTTCAATCTCTGGGAAGAGTCTCTTTAATATGTTGATACATTCTTGATACTGTGGGTTTTCAGTGGTAACTTTTTTGTTGCATATCGAGCAAGACTGGTTCTTCTTGACACTTTTGGTAGTGCACTAGAAAAATTAACAAAAATAAATTAACAAAAATAAATTAACAAGGCAAGTTAATTAATATTACTACAATTTTCATATTTATTTGAACTATGTGTATCTGAGTAGCATGCTGAAATTTGGTTTTTCTCTGCAGCTTGTCAAAAATATGGTACCGACTTATTAGGTTGATTGATAGCAGCGAAAAAACCAAATTTCAGTGTGCAGCTCACAGACACAGAGTTTGCATGTTTATGAAAATTACAGTAAGAAGCATAGCAGAATTAATCAATATCCAATTGATTCAGTTGGTCATGAGTTCAATTCCTGGCTGGACCAACACTTAGGTTCTCAAAATAACTGAGAAGGTGCTGCCTTCAAATATATTACGGATGTCAAAGTACTTGGTTTTCTTGCCAGAAAAATATGTCACGGTCACGCCTTCAAAGTCTACAACTCTGCCCACAAACATTAAATTTTTAAGTGTGCATTCCTTTTTCCACACGCCAGCATTATATTTCCTTCCCCATAATTATCAAAGGATGCCGATATGTGCTGGAGAAAAGAATGCACACTAAAGATTTATTGTTTGTGGGCAGAGTCGTAGTCACACATTCAAAGTCTACGACTCTGCCCACAAACATTAAGCTTTTAGTCTGCATTCCTTTTTTCACACGTCAGCATATCCTTCCCCGGCCTGCTCTCAGTCTGACCTTTATCTCAGCTGGTAGAGCATTGGTAGTACAATTCTGAAGGTCGTGGGTTCAATTCCCAGCGAGGTCAGAAATTAATTAATTTTTTCTGAATTTATTTCCAAGGGTCTTTCTCCCGGAATAACGTCATTCCCAAGCACTATAACTTATCTATATCTCATAATCATCAAAGGATGCTGATATGCACTGGAGAAAAGAATGCACACGAAAGGTTTATCGTTTGTGGGCATAGTCATAGATGTTTGGAGGCATCACCATGACATGTTTTCTGGCATGAAAACCAAGTTCATTGACATATCTAGTAACATCTACAAAGGGTTAGACCTTTACATGGCTAGGATGACCATGTAAAATGGTGGTCCTCTCTCTTCAAACCATCTTACCTTGCATCAGAGGAACATGAGAGAACCACTGAGGACATAAAGAAAGTGTGGCAGTGACCACCCTCAGTATCTGGCCTTTAAAATGATCCGGTTTATTCATTTCCTAAATTGCATCATTTATATGTTTTTCTCTTTCTTATATGGCGCTTGCTAAACTTTGTTTATCATATGTTATCCAAGTGCTAAAGCAACAGAAAATTAACTAACAGTTCATTTTATCTTGGCTAATCCTCATACTCACTTGAAGGCAGTGAAGTGGTGCATGTTCACAGTCATCTGTGAGTGGTTCAAAAGGAAATTCCCGTCGAAGTTTGTCTGTCTTGCAGAGTGGACACTTCATGTTGTAATTCCTTGAAAAAATTATATCAAATAAAGGACTTTCTAAAAAAACTTTTAATTTCCTCAAAAATTAGTACAAATCACAATAATTTTTAATTTGTAATTTCATTAGAGTGCACGCACTAAAACCGTGAACATTAAATATAGTACTAATTAGTACTATTTCATACAGAATCCTTTGTTTTCTATTGTTTAATTATCACTATTTAGTGCTAAAAATTAGTATTTGTTTCACAGATTTAGTGTGAGCACTCTAATGATTTTTCTTAAATCTCCTTACTACTATTTTCATAAACATGAAAACTCTGTAGTTGCGGTGCCAATTGGAATTTGGGTTTTCGCTGCCTTCAGTCAAAAATACGAAAAGGTACAGACTGATTATTTATTTTTTGAGTGACAGCTGCAAAAAAAACAATTTCAATGTTCAGCTCGCAGTAGTATAGGGAATGGGGGTTCCAGCGCAATCTCAACACGGGCAAGACCCGTGTCAAAAATCCACCTACGGACAATCCCCACTCCAAGTGTGGTTGGGGGCAACAGCGCAAATATGTTAGT